AAAATTATATACAAGTTCCTCTCTTTAAGCATTTTTTCTGTTCATGCTCTTATCTTCAAAATGGATAGGCTTTTTCTTTACATCAATCCTCCTGTCACTTCTTGAGGTTAATCATTAACCAATAAACACCAGACAGTATAAAATGTACAGCTACGTTTAAGTAGTCTTTACTGTAAGTTATACTTTTTTGTAGTTATCAAATATACAAGCTGAATGATGAGGTCAGGCTAAAAAATACTTTTGTTTGCTGTAACCTTAAAGTGACTTGAAATGTGGATAGGTAAGTAGGTAATTTTTTTTTTCCAAACTGGTTGACAAAAAAAATTTCAGAAATACTACTAGTTCCTTTATCACCTAAAATAATGAGTTAAACCATGAATATAATTACTATCAACATTTATTCTATGAAGAGAATTACAGAAATTTCACATTGACTCGCAACATACACTTGTGGGTCGATGTCGACCTCGATCACCGAAGTTGAATTGACTGTTGCCGACAATTTCATGGTTTGTTCTTACATTTCATCTTGTTCTCCATCTAAATCTACAAGTACTTCCCTCCACATGGATAAGTTTCCAGTCAGATTTGATCCTAATCCTCAATCTACAAGAATATTTTTTGGAGACAGATACATTGAACAAATTTGTGTTCGCCATGTTGTTGATGTATGCTCATTAATAGTATATTCTGCCCTGCTACATTGTGTATTTATTAGTTTAGCATGAAAGGTCCTGGGAACAAAATAAGCCATGTTGTCAGATCTTAATGCAATGAACTGTTGATTAGTAATAAGGAGATGCCTTCCCACATCATCAAAGACTACATGAATTTCTAAGAAAAAATATTCTAACCATAATAAGGTGATAACATTTTTTTTTAGTTGGTAAAGTTTGTTAGATTGGTCAGCAAATTGGTGAAAAAATTTCAAAGGTCATAATGTCGAAAAAAAAAAATCTTTCAGTTGACCCAACTTTCAGACAGTTGGTCAGGTTACAGCAAACAATTATTTTTAAGCCTGGCCTGGACAAAAATATTTTTTTTTATTATTCACCCCAACTTACCAGTTTGAATCAGACTGACATTTTCAATTCAAAGTCACATCTTGAGTAAATACTTTAATAATACATATAATTTTTTTTATGTACAACAGACTTCACATTTTACTAAAAGCTTCCCATATTTTGTGTATATATACACGCATAGCAAATGTGGAATTAAAGTCAGCATTCCTTCTGCAATAGGGGTCAGTCCAATGGACCAAGCCCATGTAATAACAAAATCCCTTTCACATATAATTAAAGACTCTTCAACATTGATAAATATACAAATCTTACAATTCAGAAGACTGTGTGCATCTTACTTTACATTTCACTCTCTTCTGGACAATCTGAGGTGTGGGTTCTCAGCTTCTTTTACTTATGTTTGAAGCAATGGTCTGTCAGAAAATTTCCTTGATCTTTGCCAGGACCTTACAGGTTAGTGCCAAATCTAAGCATACCCACTGAACCTCTTCCTCTGACTGTGAAGAGAGCTTTGGATAACTTCACAGCTTGTCCTTTTCATGGTTGTATAAGCCCCAGGACTCAAGTGTACATTGCTGCTTGTTCTTGGCAAAACCATTTACAAGTAGAGACCTTTATCTTTAGTCATTACTGAGGTTGATGACAGGACTTCTTAGGCATTGATGGTCTTATGGCAGCCAACACTGAAGTACCTTCATCACCATGGAGTAATTGTCCCTTTGATAGATCTGCTGTATCTTTTATCTTTGGAGTGATGACCTAAATTTAAGCTATTTGAAGTAGCAGGTAACAATGATGTTGATGGTCTGAACTGGTCAGATAGAATGGTAACCATTTGGGTTGCTTGAGCCAGAGAGATTTAAGGACTAGTTAAACAATGGAGTTGGCAAATTCCTGATGAATTACCAAACAATTCACCCTCATCCACAGGTTCCACCAATGTGAAAGCTAGGCTGGCTCCAGCTGTCTTGGGGATGATTATGAAATCCAGGTCCTCAATGTCAATGAACAAGAAGTCCTGCATGTAGTGATCTAGTCACTACATTACAGCAATGTTATCAATACACTAAGAACAAAAATCTGACCATACATTGGATTTTATATGAGAATGTTTACAAAACTAGACATACACATTTATTATAATACTTTTTAACTTTCTTACCCATAATATTTTGATGGACAATTTTAGTGTGGTAGACTTTTTTTTTTAAAAGCAAGTACCAAAATTGTTTGTTTTTATTTTTTATTCTGCTTAACAGAACCAATGTGCACATTTATTAATTTGTGCTAATTAATAATTCTGAAACCAAGGCATATATAAGTAGATGTTTATGTACAGTTTTTTTTTTACTGAAACAAATGTTCATAACCTTGATATACTTAAATAAAAGATAACTATCTTTACTAAAATTTAACAGTTTTCATGATTAATTATAAAAATGTAAAAGTAGTTTGTCCAATATACACACTGTACCCGTATATCAACCATACTACCACTGTAGGTGTCGTATGTGTCTACATATGATCAAGTTTAGTAATGTTTACTATTTAAGCAATTAACAATATGAAACATAAATACATCTACTAGCTAATCATTAACCTTATCCCTACATGTCATGGGTCAAAGACCATGTCATTGTGTTTGTTGACTTAAATTCAAAATTTTATTGAACTGCTATTTTATGAATTTATGTCAATAAGTTTGGTATCAAACTGTAGATTATAATTTTAATATTATACGTTATTGAATTTTTAATTTAAAAGCATTTATTAAAAAACACTTAAACATAGATGTTTGAGTGTCATGTGGTATGTTGAATGCAACACTGGTTCAAATTAGATGTTTGTGATGTCAAAATACAAAGTCTATAGTATTGTACGAATTAAGAACTCAAATTACCAATATTAACAAGCTAGAATTATTAGCCAGGCATGACTGGAAAGTAAATATAATAAAAATAATAAATATACATAAATGTATAATGTTATGAGATTTAAGCTATTCATTCTAAACATTCGTGTTATAATTTGTAGTCATTCTAGACAAAAAAAAAGCATAATTTATATTTATTTCTTAATTTTTTATTCACTTTTTTATGGTGGTTACTAGGTTGGTCAAATTGACAGACCCTGTATAGTTAAGGTTGAGAAAATAACAGACTAAATATGAAGTTTTACTGAAAAGAAATGTTTGAAACATACTTTACAGGTTTTAGAGATTACACAAATAATATCCAAGATTTTTGGGATGAAGAGTAGTACATTAATCATAACATGAAAATCACTTCGCACTCGGACTAATAATCTTTTTTTTTTTTTTACACAAAAAAATCAATATTTTTTTAAAGGAGTATTTTTACTAAAGATTTGTTTGTGAAAATATCAACTGTTTCGCCTTGGAATTATTACTAAAAGTCTACCAAATTTTGTTAAGATACACATACACCATTAAAAGTTATAGAATAAATACTTAATGTGTGTGAAAATGTGTATACGAGAGAGAGAGAGAGAGATACCAATAGTTAAAAATCATACTTAAATACAGTATCAGATGCTATAAAAATGATGGGTAAGCAGTGTTTTTATTACTACATTTTTCTGTAGGTAAAGAAATTTGTGGACTTATAGTAAGGTACATTTGTAATATGAAACTAAAGTCATGGAAGTCTCTCAAATAGAAGATATACACATAGTAGCTACATCTCTGTTACAGTTAACACTTGATAAAATACATTTTGGTACAAAAGACATGTGCTGCACATGGCGTGTAAATAGATATCTCAGTGTGTGTCTTGCAAAGTAACTGCCATGTCACTTTTTACACAATTGACACTGAATGCTGCAACCCTGTTTGAGACAGTTGTTTTTATTTTCCAGTGAATTCCACTGTCTTCTTTATGAAAGAACCTGTCAGACTTCAATAGTAACAGTTCTTTCAAATATCTTTTGAAATTATATTTGATTCTAATAATTCTCACCAAATAGCTTATGCTTTTCTAAATGTCTCATGATGCAAAGTAATTAGTCAAATTTACACTGCCTACATTTATTCTATTTGGCTAAGTTTATTGTTTTGGCCAAGCACTGTAAACACAATAACTTAAGAAGAACTTTAGACTTTTAGACAAGAAAATATCTTATAATTTCACATTCACCTTAATGAGTCACATTAATATTTTTTAAATTTGCAAAGAAATTTTTAGATGTTAATGCATGCTTAATTCCATGGAAAAATGTGTAATAAAATAATTTCATTGCATTATGTTTGGTACTACATGGGTTGAACAGATGCAAATGTCAAATGAAGCACTGACCACCTGCAACATCTGAGCGAAACAACCCGACTTTCACTTCTATAGCAAGTTTAATATTAATTATTTAGCATATACTGCTCGACTGGAAATAATCTAACTATTTAAAGTAAAAATGTGAATCTCTGGACCATGTTTTAGTAATAGCTTTGGCAAGCCAAATAGTACTGCCATTGAACTTTCAATGGTATATTTATTTGAAGTTTAAAAGTAGATGGCATTTTGGTCTCATTTGCATATTTTCATAGGATAATGTTATTAGTATCTGTTTAAAACCACTTATGAACTCTTAGCCAGTAAACAATTAACAATTATAGCTGCATGTACATCTCTTCCATGATAATGAAACTATTTGTTTAGGGTAACTAATAGTGGATTTAGGCTTATTGACCATCTTAATACATATTATAAAAACACTAATGTAATGTCATCATAATATTTTTTTTGTATATTGTTGAAATTTATAATATACTCCATTTCTTAATATTATTAACTACAAGAAATAATTTCTTTAACACTAATAATACCATATTGATTAATGATACAGGCATTCAATTGCATTTATGAAGAAATAAAATTAGATTTAAACAGTTTTTTCCTATTGTTAGACACTCAGCAGTTTGGTTCTAGAAAACCAAAAAACATTTTTACCTTGTTACTGTTGCATTCTGACTCAAAGTGTTATCCACACTGTTGTTAGCAAGACTTGTGGAATTGTGATTAGCAGAATTCAGAGTTTCTGCCTTAACAGATGCCATGATGATTTGTAAACAGTTCAATCAAGGCACAAAGACCTAAAGTCAGTATACACTAAGATACAACTTCACAGTAATGAGTCTACTAAAAGATGCTTCTCAACTGTCCAAAATTTAAAAACAGGAAAATCTGAAAATAAAAAAAGTAAATTTAATGCATTAGTTTTCAGTTTTACACTCTTAGAAAATGAAGTTACTACAAAATATTTGAATCAATGAATCTTACTGCTATTACTGTTCATAATTAGTTCTATAAACTACTAGTTAACAGATAGTGGAGAGGTTTCTTGCAAATTTGTGTCAATGTTATTTGTTTTTGATTAAAATAGTATTAGAGAATGTCTTGATTAATACAAGCTGAATTTGAGTAGTTATATTTTTGTGTGTCACGTGGTATGTTGAATGCAGCACTGGTTCAAATTAGATGTTTGTGATGTCAAAATACAAAGTCTATAGTATTGTACAAATTAAGAACTCAAATTACCAATATTAACAACCTACATTTTAAAATAAGAACCTCCTATCTTTTCTATTTGCTGAGATATTGCTCATGTACTGAATCAAACAGTGGCCATGCTAACCTCTTTCCATTTTTGGAAATACTCCCTTAGATACAATTACTTCTATGTCATATGAATAACCAATCAAAAGCTCATAATGTCCCTCTAGTGGCTTTCTCAGCCATTTTCAAGTATTATGATGTCATCTCATTCTTTCAAACAAAACTTCAAGCTGGTAAGTTGAATCTTTAGTCTGCTCAAAATTTCATATTTTTATTATACTAAAATACATCTTAGTTACTAAGCTTTATAAATTATAGTGGAATTCTATGGTATTGATGTAGTAATTTATGATTTTTTAGTTATTCCTCACGTATATATAAAACCTAAACAAATTATTTTGTTTTATATCCTTCACGTGCAAAATACTTAAAGGCTTAGCAACCTACATAAAGCACCAACCGAGTACAAAGGTCGTAACTAGAAGAGATAATTGTTTGCTTTAGTTCTTTATATACCGTTCTATATTTAAGAAAAATTTTTAAGGACTTATTTCAATATCATAATATATATCAGTATAATAATTGAAATGTGACTGAGTTTTTACAAAATATTAGTCTTCTTCACAGCCAAGACAAGTTACTTTGTACAAACCAAATGTCAGTTTTATGTTATCTGATACGGTTACATGAGTGCACGTGAGCCACATCTTTGAAACTTCTTTGTTGTTAGCCAGGCATAGCTGAAAGGCCAATATAATAAATATATATATAAATGTATAATGTTATGAGATTTAAGCTATTTCATCTAAACATTTATGTTTTTGCATTATAATTTGTATTCATTGTAGAATGAAAGATGCATAATTTATGTTTATTTCCTAATTATTTTATGGTGGTTGCAAGATCAGTCAAATTTACCAATCCGGTATAGAGATTAATTACTGAAAATAACAGATAAAATATAAAGTTTTTTCTTAAGAAACATTTCATAACTATTTGGACATTATACAGATTTCGCATGTGAAATTTAAAAATTTTCTGATGCATAAAAGTATTTTTAATGTTAAGACGAAAATTACTTTGCATGATAGACTAATTAGAAAGGGTTCAGAAGAGGGCTACCAGAATAATTCTGGGATCTAAGAAGGGATATTGACTTATTAGAAAGGGTTCAGAAGAGGGCTACTAGAATAATTCTGGGATCTAAGAAGGGATATTGACTAATTAGAAAGGGTTCAGAAGAGGGCTACTAGAATAATTCTGGGATCTAAGAACGGATATTGACTTATTAGAAAGGGTTCAGAAGAGGGCTACTAGAATAATTCTGGGATCTAAGAACGGATATTGACTTATTAGAAAGGGTTCAGAAGAGGGCTACTAGAATAATTCTGGGAGATGAACAATTATCTCATATGGATAAGTTACAATCTCTCATTTTCTCTTAAGAAAAAAATAGGTAAAAGAAGGCATCTTACTGAAGTTTGCCAGATTATCTAGGGGACATATAAAAGCCTCTGATTCATTGGCCACATGACCAAGCAAAATGCCTTCGGGCTTCACCTTCACTTTTTAAAGTGTCCATTATGTTCAATAAAGTGGTATCATTTTAACTTTTCTTTACTCATTAATTTAGAGTCATAACTGCACTTTAAGCATGCAGTCAAGTCAAACTTGTATATTGCTGTCCATAATGGTATTCATCATTCACTACAAATGTCTAGGAAATTGGTTAGGTGAAAAACCTTTGGAAAAATCCGAGTTAAATTCTGGCAAGAAACAAAAAGCCATTGACAAATTAGAGAACAGAAAGCCTAGAGTTTCTCAAACTAACCCGTACTTACTATGTTGAAATTCAGTACGTAACTTCAGGTGGCATGTGCAAAATACCAAGGAATCATGGCACTGCTCAATTTGTTAAAATGCAGGTAAAAAAACAACGTGCATGTTTATGGGCATGAAAATCCTGCTAAGCCTCATCAAAATGTAAGTTAAAGAAGACAAAAAAGGAAAACACAGTGAACTTTGAAAATTTTTTTTTAGATTATTTTGAGTTAGGATAGATTTTATCTATTAAAACTGAAAAAAATAAAATGGTTTTATTACATCCTGAAAAAAGATTTTAACAAAAAGGTTAAAGGTTTAACAAAGGTTTCTTAGGTTTTATGGATGTGTGTGTGTTACAAATAAACATTTCCTATATTAAATAGTATTTTCACATTGTGAAGTCTTGCTATTTCTCAACAACTTTTACCTGTTGGCACTAGGAAGGAAGTGAGTTCTGTTTGTTTTGGAAGTCTGGCTTAATCTCTGAAAATTTATTTGTGATGCATCATAAAGATTACAGGAAAAAAGAGTTTAAGGTTTGGAAAAGACAAACTAGACTCCAGGAAAGACAGTTATTTATCTAATAGATTGACTTTTGCAAGGGAAGATGTGCAAGGACAGCCTTGAAGAACCAAATGGTCCCTTGTTGTTTGTACATTATAAAATTCATGTAAACTGGATCAAGGTTTATTCCTCTGTAAAGCATATTAGTCCACTCATCTATTTTAGATTTATGTAGAATATCGATCTATGTCTTTCTATACCTTCAACTTATTTTACTTAACATTAATTGTCTTATTTCTTGCATGCACACATTTGTTAGTCTTTTGTCATTTTTACACTTCACGTATTTTCCCCAACATATTATTAATCCAACCCATTTATAGGAATCTCAATCTACAGGGAATAAAATCCAATTTTTGAATTTGCAAATCTGTTTCTTTCATATGAAATTTCTTTATTTTCCTGTATTTGTTTCTAAACTTAACAACAAGCAAATCTTGAGGTAATATTCCTTAAATTTTTCTTTTATCATAATGCCAACTCATACTCTATTAAGAGTTAGTTAAGTAATACTATTTTCACAGTTAAACAAAATGACCAACACTGAGTGACATCAAGGCTTTTACATATAACAATGCTTTAGGGCAACAAGGGACCTATTGATCCATCCCAGCAGTCCCATCCTCTAAACTAAACTAAAACTATTAAATAAATAAAATAATCATCCATGTAGTTATAAAGCTTTCTCTTAAACTCACTTAAATTTACTGCCTCCACAACATCTGAAGGCAACCCATTCCAAAGGCCAACCACCCTGTTAGAAAAATAAAACCGTCTTAGCTGAAGATGACTTCTACCCTGTCAAGACTTGTATTTGTGTCCCCTAGTTCTACTGTTCTGACTTAAATATGAAAAAAGATGATGCATCAACACTATCAATTCCCTTTACAATCTTAAACACCTCAATCTGATCCTCTCTAACTTTTTTTTTCAAGAGAAAACAATTTGAGAGAGATCTCATCCTCTTCTCATATGACAACCCCTCCATCCCAGCCACCATGCTAGTAAACCTTCTTCTGAACTATTTCCAACAATTCAATGTCCTTCCTAAGATAAGGAGCCTAAGACTGAACACAATACTCCAAATGAGACCTAACCAGTGACCTATAAAATGAATATAAAACCTCATTAGACTTGTATTCAATATTTCTGTAGATACAACAAAAATTCCTATATGTCCTACCATTAGCAACAGCACACTGCTTAAATGGTGTTAGAGACTGATCGAATATTACACCAAGATCCCATTCTTTCATTACATTGTTAAGGTTATTCCCATCCAAATTATACCTGTAATTAAAATTATTGTAACCCACTTGTATTATCTTGCACTTATTATAATTAACAACCATTTTCCATTTATTTGTCCAACCCACTAAATGATCTAAATCCTTTTGTAAATTACCAGCATCCTCTTCACAGCTAGAAACACCCAAAATCTTAATATCATCACCAAATTTAAGTAATTTATTGACCATTCTTTCATCTATGTCACTGATGTAAATCAAAAAGAGCAAAGGTCCTAAGACTGAACCCTTAGGTACCCCACTTGTAACATTAATCCAGTTTGACTGAACTCCATTTATAACAACCCTCTGCTTTCTTCCATCCAATTTGCTAACTTATAGAAATAATGTTTTTACAAGCCTTTTATGTGGCACCTTGTCAAACGTTCTTTGAAAATCCAGATACACTAAATCTACACCCTTACTCTCATCTCGATAAGCAGTAACCTTTTCCAAGAATATCAAAAGATTTGTTAGGCAAAATTTTCCCTTAAAGAAACCATGTTTACTATCCAGTAAAATTCTAAACTTTATTAAATGGCTTTGAAAAGCATCTTTTATCAGACTTTTCCCACAACTGATGTAAGACTAATAGGCCTATAATCACTGGGCCAATTTTTATCAATTTTCTTAAAAAGAAGAGTGATATTAGCTAACTTACAATCCTCTGGTACTTGCCAACTATTCAAGAACTTACAAAAATAGTAGCTAGTGGCACACATATCCAATCCTTAACCTCCTTCAAAACACTTAAAGTATTATCAGGTGCAGGAGGCTTATCATTCTTTAAACTTCTCAATTTTTTCTTAATAAGCTCAGAATTAATGTGGTCATCTTCTTCGATCGTATTTCCATTTATCAACTGTTAAAAAAAGCGGAACACTACTTAAATTTTCATTAGTAAAAACTGAAGAAAAAGCAGAATTTAATAACCAAGCCATCTCACAATCATCAGATAAGAGCCATCCTTTATCCCTCAAGGGTCTAATCCTAACATTTTGTTTACCCTTAATGTATTTAAATAAATCCTTACTGTTAATCTTCAGCTGCAGCATAGTGGCTCATAAAATCGTCACTTTTTTTTTTTTCAAGTACAGACTTTTAGGTCATAGCTCTATCACTTCTTTACTGATTTGAGATCTTATTATATTTTTGAACTCAGGAGGTCAAAGTTCCTTTGATTGATATATTTGACCATGTTGAAGGTCTCAAAGATTAATTTATTCTAATCCTGCCTAAAAGAATTAAAAGTGGTATGGTTACCGAGAACTCCCTCTTTTTACATTTTCATCCAACCTTTTCTAATACATTCTTTTTGATGTCCTAATTTCACATTTGACCAATTTTCTTGATCTTTTATAATCTTCTAAATCTCCACTCATACCAGTCAATTTAAATGTCTTAAATTTATGATGCCTTTCTTTAATTTTTGCCTACACTCTTTGTGAGCCAACCTGGTTTTTTTACTTGAAACCGCACTTTTCTTTCTATAAGGAATATGTTTACCTTCATTATTTATAGCTATAGTCACATGGTCATATACCTCATGATGTAAGTAAGTTCATTTGTAATCTCATCATCTGGTGTATAAAAACAAAGAGAACTGAATACTGAAATGCCAGATGCTCAATCATGTACAGAAAAGATTGGGTATTGCTCGATATTCTTAAATCACAATTAATCTTGGAGCCCGTAAACGTCCTATTATCAAACAGATGTTTCCAATTAATTTACACGTTCATATTTTTTTTTTCCTAGTTTCTTGTTGCAAACTTTTATTTTGTGCCAAGGTTAAACTGCTAAATTACCTGTTTTGAAATTGAGACAAGATTATATTCAAATTATAATTATTTTTTAAGTGTCAAAATTAAAATAAATATATATTTAATTTTTAAGAATCCTGGTACTAACATTTAAAATATTCTTAATATACAATAAAGGAGTTGTTTAAAATCTTTCCAGTTATCATGTATGATGTAGCATCTCTGGCATTTTATTTTTAGTACAATCTCTTGTGTTTAAGTTATACTGAACAGTTGAACCGATTTCAATAACTTTTAATATTTTCACATTCACTTTTCGCTAGCCCAGTTTGCCTTTTAGTTTTACCCTACTTTCGTCATTTGAAAACATTAACTTCAAGTCAATAGTGTTTGGTACTTACCCATGTCTATATCTTGCTGATTTTTTAATATATTGAAACAAATTGCTTATTTAAAATTAAAAGGACACTGGATATAGTGGTTTCAACATTATTCACGTTCCAGTTTGTACTCGAAAAGCTCAAATAATGTCTCCCATGAGCATGTGATTGTGATATTCTTTTGTAGGCCTACCAGTACTACCATTCAAGAAGCTAGTTAACTTAAGTTTTCCATATTTGTTTTATCATTATGTGGAGTCGGACAGCTGTATGAGCATTCAACTATTATGTTATTATTAATGTTGGAATTTGTTTTTATCCAGCAAGTTTTGGCAAAAAAACGTGTCGTTAGCTATTAATATTAGGCCTAAGTAAACTTTATTAGTAATACTATGTGACATGCCGTGGTGCAAGGATTACTTTTCTATTAGTACTATTATTCTTAAGTGAAATAACTAAATGAATCGCATCATAAGTTTAATCAAAATGTTACCTGGCATTTATAATAAAAATGGTTCATAAAAAGAATACCTTACCTTCTCAATTTCACTATTCCTGTGCGCTTATTACTTAACAGTTTTCCAGTACAGTACTTTAACTCGAAGATCCAAAGTTTTACGTTTAACATTCAAACACTATAGTTCAAAGATGGCGACCAATTTATTCAAGTCCAGCAACTGACGTAGTTTCATGGATGAAATATGCAAACAGCCGCACACCCGGAGGTCTTACCAATAAAATAATAAATTGTATAGTGTATCTTTTAAGAAATATATATAATTTAAACTGCACTCATATGAAATTCAAAACAAATGAAATGTATCTAACAATATAACGCAACACATTTAAAAACACTTCTCGGTATAAAAATTGACGAACGATACCTTTAAGTCCAGAAGAGCCCTAAGAGGGGGAGGGGCATATGAATATATATATTCGAATATCAAACTAACTAAAGAGATTAATATAAACAAGAATTTTAGCGTGCAGCCTTTAATTATGAGTTTGCTGTAGCTTATTAAAGTTATGGTCATCAAAGGACTTGAACAGATAAAAAGCAACTGTCTATCCAATAAGACGGTGTTTAACATTGCAGCATTAGAAAAAGCATAACTAAAAATCAAAGTCACAATGTAAAAGATTTTTAGCATAATATATTTCGCAAATGGGAGCAAATGCGATTTTATATACCGAACAAATATTGACATATAGTTTCGTTTTGAGTTTACTTACTGATGAAGTATATTTTATTACATGATACAGCTTTTACAGTAAGTAAAAAAATATGTACTTACTGTGAAATCTGTAAAGTTGTAATAAAATATATTGATATCACTGTAAGATTTAGAATGGGTTACGATAAATGTATAGCACACACTAAACAAAAATAAAAAAAAGAAAGTTAAATGGATCGAAAGCTATTAGTTTTAAAATTAAATGAACAGCTTTAACTTTATTATAGAATTCATCTTTTAATTTCACCATGATTGTTTTATTTATAGGTTATGACTTTTCTAAATTCCGACGTTTGTATTGCTTTTGTTTTTGTTAGAGGGTGTGCTCAATATCAGGCGATGAGCGGTGGCGTAATAACAATAAATTAAAACAAAACCCGAGTAAGATTAGTTCATTTGTTGCTAAAGGCAGAGCTGACCAATGTGTTCTGCTTACTACGAGTATCGAAACCATGCTTTTAAAGTTATAAGCCTACATACTTACCGCTGTGAATGTTTCCATAAGCAGGGGTCACCAAACTACGGCCCGCGAGGTCAGTTCATCCCACCCACCGCTGGTGTTTGGTGACCTCTGTATTGAGAGACAACTGAACTTCCAAGTATTTTTTCTTAATTTTTTGTCCATCTATTTAAAGATAACTGAACTTCCAAGTATTTTTTCTCCATCTATTGAGCGATAACTGAACTTCCAAGTATTTTTTCTCCATCTATTGAGCGATAACTGAACTTCCAAGTATTTTTTCTCCATCTATTTAGAGATAACTGAACTTCCAAGTATTTTTTCTCCATCTATTGAGAGATAACTGAACTTCCAAGTATGTTTTCTTATCTATTGAGAGATAACTGAACTTCCAA